AGTATTGCATTTTTTGCATTGTAATGATGGTTATGTATTGTGATTATTGATGAACTATATATGTTAATAACATATTGTAATAACTACTTATTTGTTAAAGCTTTCTATATATTATCTAGATTATATCATATTTGTGAAAAGTGAAAATTATTGCATATTTTAGTTTGTGATTTTGTTTGTGTATTTTGATTGTTGATGAAGTACATAGTGAAGTAATTGAAAGCAAATACATTGTAAGAAATCCTATATTAAAGTATATAGTTTAGCGTATATTGAAATGAAACGAATTTGTAAAATGTGAAAATTATACTTAAAGTTATGATATTTTAGTGAACTAGATCCTATAGTAATTATTATTGTTTTAAACTTTTTATAGGAAAACTATGCTGTTGTATTATCTTAGAAATAAGGTAAATACTATTCCAATCATTCAGAATTTGATCCACAACATGGAATGAAGCTAATGGAATGGTTAAAGCTACATGCACTCATGTGTATGGCTTTGGATCAACAAATAAATTTATGGGCCTCTTTCACTCAACTTAGTCTACTACTATAGCAGGATCGTTTAACTCTGCTTGTGGTTCATCATTTGTGCCTCTTCAGACTCATCAACCTTAGATAAAATAACAAATTAATGAATTAAAAACTGAGTTGAGAGTTGAGCTTAGATCATTCATGGAGCAAATAATGCAATTGATGGGGTCTAGACAGATTCTACCATCATAATATTCTAGACTTGATGACGACACTGAAGATTCAGGATTATGAGGTGCAGTAGTAGCATAGTGACATTTTTTGTTGGATTTGTATGAGGTATTAGATGGATTGATGCTATGGATGTTTTATGAATTGATATTTTATGATGTTAGGGATATTTGATGGTTGTTTGATGAATGTTGGATGATGTATTTAACAAATGTTACTTGGATTTGATATTTTAATTAATAATAATAGCATATTTAAAGAATTACACATATTTAAATTGTAATTTACAAGGTTTGAAAATAATTACAAGTTTTTGAATAATTATAAATTTTTTTATTTAAATTATTTATGAATTTATATATTTACTAATGGAATTTACCAATGAAAATGTACTATTATCGACAAAATTTTTATTATTTTCGACGAATTTTTTTATTACCAATGAAATTTTATTATTACCGACAAAAAAATTCTTTTTTGACCATTTTTATGGTTATTATCGACAGTTATACTGATGAAATTTTATTATTATCGATGAAATTACTGATGAAAAAAAATTCTTTTGTAGCAATTTTCATAGTTATTATCGACAGTTATACCAATAAAATTTTATTATTACGAACGAAATTTTAATTATTACTGATGGATTTATCGACAGATTTTTTTTATTGTTGATGAAATTTTATTACTACCAACTAATTTACTGGTTGAAAAAAAACCCATTATCGATGGATTTATTGACGTATTTTTCATAAATAATTATCGATGGATTTTAAGCATTATTGACGGAATAGTATTATCGACATAGCTAGCACCAACTGAATTTTTTCATGGGTAAAACTATTAGTAAAAGTATTATTGATTGATTTTCATGTTTTATCGATAAAAAATTCTGTTGGTAAAGCCTATTTTTCTGGTAGTGTGATATAATAATATAATTTTCAGCATTAACAACATAAATTTTCACAAATGAATGTAACTTTGGCATAAACACATTCAAAAAATAATTTCAATGAATTTTGTCATACCTCGAAAGAATTCACCAAAAACAAATAATTTTACTTCATTTGATAATTTTTTACTTAGAATAATTTATGTTAGGTCGTTCAATCACTTGGATGACAAAAAAAGCAAGTAATTTAATACAATTGAGAAAGATTAAATAATTTTAAGATATAAATTAATCATATATATATATGCATATTAAGATAAGAGTTAAGAGAAAATTATATCAATTATTATTTCAATCAAGATCAACAATTCTTTTGACAATTTGACATGATCGAATTCTAATGGCATATATCCAATCTTGAACATTGGTAGTTCCACAATTTTATGAATCATTTAATTTTACAGGTGAAAAGTCTAATTAAAGAGTTCAATAAATCACATAATGCTAATTGTTAGTGGAATGGATGAAATTGATTTACATTTAATTCGATATTAGTTTTTGTTCATGAGAATAACAATTATAAAATTCTAGAAGAAAAAATATTAAAAAAATAATTATAAATGTCAAATTAAATTATAAGAATGATATATTAAATAATTATTTCATGAGACTAAAAAGATTTAATTATGTTATTAATAATTTAATGATCAACTGATAAAACATATAAATAACAAAATCATTAACATACATATATAATTAATATATTAAAACAAAAAATTGAATGGCAAAAGATAAAAAAAATGCTTCAATGACTTAATTATAATTATCTTTAATGAATTTATTTATTAATATAAACTATATATGTAATTGTTTGTACAACAACTAAATAAATAAAATTTATATAATTATTTTATTCTTATTCACAGTAAGTTTTAATTTTGTTCTATTGGTATTTCATTTAATGTGAAAAATCATTATATTTATAACAAAGGAGTTTAATAATAAAAAAGTCATTTAAATTAAAATTTTTTAAAAAAATTAATAATAATATTTTAATCAATCACTTTTAATATTTTTGAAATTACAATTTTATTAAAGGTATTTTGATTAATTACTTTTAGTATTTTTTTTTACTTTAATTATAAAAAAAGTCTAATAATAAAAAATTTATTTAAATTAGACTTTATAAAAATATTTATTAAAAATATTTTAGTCAATCACTTGAAACACTTTTGAAATTAAAATTTAAATATTTTAAGTAGTTTAATTTCATATAAACTTTATTTTAAATTTTTATTGATTTAAATTAAATTTAAATAAATTAATAAAATTTATATATTTAAAGATAAATTTATTTATTTAAAAATTTATAAAAATATTTAAATTGATTATTATTAATATTTTTAAAATTCATATTTTTATATATAAATAGGTGATATTTTGAAGATTATACTACACTGAAGTCCAAAACGATAGCTATTTTACGGAATTCCATTTCTCTACTTTTGTAAAGCAAATTCTTCGAAATGATAGCGAGAACGTTCCACATGGCATTCACTTTATTTAATAATTAATAGTTTGTAAATATTTATGTATCACAAACTTCTAGAAAATCATTGGAAAAAAGTCCAAAATGATGACTACCGAGTTTGGGTAAAACTTCTGGCTCTTAATCTCTTCCACAACTCGTTCAACTTGATTGAAAAGCAGGAGACTATTGAAAATCGCTAGATATGCAAAGTCCACTCTATGAATTTTATCAACATGTAAGTCCACACGTAACTTTATCATATACTTTATGATTCTAATTAGATTATGATGTATGAAATAATTTTATTCATTTTATGTATATAAATTAATATTTTTTAATTGTAATTAAAATTTTAAAATTTATAATATATATAATTTTATATTCGATTAATTTGTTATAAAAATAATTTTTTTAAGAAGCAAAAAGATAATGGCATGTTCATTTTATACTATATTTATTTGTAATAATATTTATATATTTAAAATTTATATCAAACAAAAATAAATTATGTCTTTTTTAAAAAATAAAAAAACATATATATTATCAAATGATGAATTAAATAATAAAAGAATATAAACATATTTTCACCTTTTTAATCTTGTTCAAATTACTATACAAAATATAAAAAAATGCTAAGAGATGTGTGTAAAAAATTGAAAAAATACTAACTTTTATAAGAGCAAATTTACAATAATAATAGAATATACCTTAAAAAAAGAAAGATGTAAACCGAAAAAATAAATTGCAATAGCAATAGAATTTTAAAAAATTGCAAACCAAAAAATAAAAAATATAATATAACATATTATATTTATAGTTTTTTATTTGTAGAATAATTTTTGTATGATATATATTTAGGATTGAATAGATAATTTTTAAATTGATTTTTAAAAAAATTAAAAGGATATAATAAGTGATAACAATTAAATACAATTTTTTGTCTATTTTTTAAATATAAAATTGATAGTAAAGTTAAGATGAATATAGGGCATATTATTTAGAGATTTAAAATGAAAAAATTATTCAAAATTTTAATATTTTACGTAAATTTTTTAAAAGATAATTTTTATTTGATGTAAATTAGATAAAAATAAGAAAGTTTTTGAAAGATTCGAATAAATTTAATTTTTATAATTTTAAAATATATTAAAAGATTTTTATAATTAAATAATTTATAAAACAAGATTATTTGACAAAAAATTAAAATTATTAGAATAAAATTCATGTTTCAAAATTTTAATTTAAAAAATATATCTTTAGGTTAATTTGATTTATAGTTATAACTTGAATAAATTAAAAAATTTTCAATTTGTAATTAAAAATTATTTTTTAAAAATATTATCTTTCATATCATCTAAATAAATTGTTCATATTATGTGACAAATCGTATTTCGATGTTTATATGCATATTATAATATAATAATATATATAATATATGATTAGGTTCAAGGTTTTTGACTTTTCTCCATAGCTTAGTGTGAAAAGGCCATAAACCGTTGACCTATTCACCATTTAAGACATTTTTTTAATGGCGGTCATTGCCAAAAGTGGTCAAAGGCCGAATTAGAAAAGATTATTTGACAAAAAGATTACAATTATTGGGATAAAATTTATATTTTTAATTTTTAATTAAAAAATAATTTTAAATTAATTTTATTTTTAATTATAATTAAAATAATTTTGATATTTAAACAAATTTTAAATTATTTAATTAATAATTAAAAAAATTATACTCTTTAAAAAGATATTTTACATATCATCTAAATAAATTGTTCATATAATGCAACAAACTTTATTAGTTGTATCTATATATATATATATAATAATATATGATATATGATACATAAATAAATTAGGCGTAACGTCTTTGACTTTTTTCTATAGCTTAGTGTGAGAAGGCGATAAACCGTGATGCAGGTGAGTGCAAATGCCAATAACAGCAGATTGTCCTGATCAAAACATCGCGGTCCTGTCCAAATGCTAAACCGAACAAGAAAGATGCGACAAACAAAAAGTTTTGTCAAAAGCAAGTTGTTGTTCTCTTTGACTTTTTAAGATCAATGACAGAAATGTAAATTAGTGCGCTGGGAATCCAGCTTTTCACCTTTCCCTCATCTCCCTGTATCCCAAAAACAATGAAGGTTTCTTTCTCTCTCACAATCTGTTACGTTTTCACTTTTTTAGCCTTCCGGATCCTCACAGCAACAGCAGCAGATACCTTAGCAGCGAACAATACCCTGAAAGATGGCCAGACCTTGGTCTCCTCTGGGCAACGGTTTGAATTTGGGTTCTTTAGTCTTCGCAACTCTAGTCACAGATACTTGGGAATTTGGTACAAGAACATTGATCCTTTCACTGTGGTGTGGGTTGCCAACAGGGACAACCCCATAACTAGTTCCTCAGGGTCACTGGTGTTTAACCATCAGGGTTCACTCTCTCTTTACAATGGTACCGTTTTTATCTGGTTTGTTAATGTCTCTAGGGTCTTGAACAATCCTATCTTTCAGCTTTTAGACAACGGTAACCTTGTGCTAACTGACGATAGTGGGGATTATATATGGGAAAGTTTTGATTATATAACGGATACTTTATTGCCTGACATGAAACTTGGTTGGAACCTTAAGACTGGTTTGAAACGAAATATGACATCGTGGCTAGCTACCGATGACCCTGCGACGGGAGAATTCACCTTCAGCTTAGATCCACCCGAGGCCCCAGAATTGGTTCTTAGGAAGGGGAACCAGAAAGAGTATCGATGGGGACCATGGGATGGGGTCAGGTTCAGTGGCAGCGATGAGCTCAGGTCTAATCCTGTTTACACTCCAGAGTTCAATTCAAGCCGTGAAGAGATTTACTACACGTTTAAAGTTGTAGACAGTTCAATTCTGTCAAGGTTTGTGGTGACACCGCAAGGTTTGCTTCAGTATCTCACATGGACGAACCATAGCAATGGGTGGGCGACTATGGTGACCTTGCAAAGAGACAGTTGTGACAGGTACGAATCCTGTGGGCCTTATGGGAAATGTTATACGGATGTTCCTAATTGCAGGTGTTTGAGTGGTTTTACACCTAAATCTCCAGAAAATTGGCGGCTTATAGATTGGTCAGATGGGTGTGTGAGGAAAAGGAATTTAGATTGTGAGAATGATGGCTTTGTCAAGTACGAGAGAATGAAGTTACCTGATAATTCACGTTTAGTAACAAATAGAAATTTCAGTTTGAGCCTAGAGGAATGCGAGGCAGAGTGTTTAAAGAATTGTTCTTGTATGGCTTACACCAGGATAGATATTCATGGAAATGGGGGGGATTGTGTTACGTGGTTCGGTGATTTGGTTGACATGAAGTACTTTTCAAATGGTGGGAACAACCTTTACATTCGAATGGCACGAGCAGAATTAGGTATGTACTGCCATTTATTTGATACAAAAAAGTCACTTGAATATCACACACATGCACAAATGAAACTTTATATAGTAATTCATACTTTGCTTTGATTGGCGTCGCTTGGAAATTAAGCATCTAGTGGGTGTTAAACATATTAATGCTATCAGATCCATGTACAGTTTAGCCATATTGTTTACTCTTACGATATTTCCTAAATTATAATGCTCTGGTCTGTGTTGAGGTAACAATATATGCATTTATTAATCCAGTTTGAAGAGTCTGTATAATAACTGCCTGATGGCTGCCCTTTGAATGCCATTTCTCCACTTAAAGTGTGGTGGTAAATTCAAATTTGAAGAAACATTTTAGATGATTGATAGGTAGTTTTAGATTCCCTAGATCAGGTCTTGTTCAAAGGATAATAGACCACAGTTATCTTCAAATATGAGCCAGATCTTCAATTGGCTATCTTCCTTTTGTCTGAGCACTCTTTGGCTGAGTCTGACTCGCACCATATGTTTTAGCCAATGAGAACAGGACATTTTGGATGAAAATTATTCATGAAAAGCTACAAATAGTTTGCTTGCAAGGCCATATAAACGTAGTTTTAGGACATCAGGCATTGATGAATTTAGCAGCAAAATAGTCCCTCAACCTAAACCTGAAGCAACCAAACGTATAAATACAGTGTAGAGTAATTTATTTTGGAATATCATTGGTGACCAGACGCAATTGCTGATGCTAAGAGGAAGAAACAAGTGAGAGTAGCTGTTCTAACGACCACGTCAATAGTTTTAGGCATGCTTCTTGGAGTCATTGGATGGCGCATTTTCCTTAAAAGAAAGGCAAAGAGAAGAGGTAAGAAGCCTAATTTACCTGATTGATTGCTGATCTTTTCTTTCTTTGTTTTTTTTTCTTAATAAAAATCTCAGATGATATTTGGGGTCTGCCACGTTTGAATTCTATAATGAAATAACATTTTTATTTAACTAGTTATGCATACTTCATCTCTTGTCCTTAAGGCACCTCTTTTAGCCACTGCGATTCTTAAGCAGCAGCAACTAGCAAGCAAAAATTGTTTGTTGACAGATTTGATAGTGTTGAGCTTTTGAATTTGTTGAGCTTTTGAATTAAAAACCAGAAAAATGATGAACAAAAGCTGAAACCAGAAAACTGATGGCAGAGTTTAATGAACAAATAATGAAAAAAAATTACAAGTTTAAGAAAGCTTAAGAAACCTGAACATTGATGAACTGAATAACTAAGAACCAGAATATACTTCATTCATTCATAGGCAAGTGCTTAAATACACAATATTTCAGAATAAAGAAACATAAAATTTCAACAACAATAGCTGGACAGATCATTCCACAAGGCTGGTCAGCTTTTTCATATGCTAAATTCAATAATAGAAGAATTTGAAGTAAAAAAATAAGCAAAGCATTGGAAGCTATAGCTGAATTACAGCAAATGTATCAGAAAAATCTTATTTTCCAACAGATAGTATGTGGTGTATTACAATAAACAATAAGCAAATTATATATGGCTGCCCACGATTCTGGTACACAAGTTAAGAACCAACTATTTACCTTTGAAATAGTAGTGGAACTGCAACCGTGCAGCTTTTGGAAAGTGTGGAGGAGATATCCCTCTCACTGATAAAGTTTTTCTCCTGATAATTTCAGCATCTCATCCTAAATGAGCTTACCTGATAATTAAGTAGCACATTGTTCTTGATGAAAGGGGTGCAAAAGCAATTGTCAATTTCTTGACACTTTTTATACATCCAAATAATTTATTTGAGGAAGCCTAAGGTGGCTGGATGTAAGGAACTGAATAGTATTATGTGAATTTAAGCTAATTTTTGATTTTCTGTAGATTTTATTTTATCAGAATGTAGACCATTAAAAAAATTGATTGCAAAAGTATCGATTTTCACTTAAAAAATTGATTGCAACAAGTAGCTCTACCAGTACACTTGCATAAAAGCACGATAGCCATGCCTTTACTTTAATTAGCTGATTGATTACCGTGTAACAGCGGGAACTGAAGACAATTCATACAGAGATATCAATGATGAAACTCAGGAGGAAGACCTAGAACTACCTCTTTTTGAGCTGGATGTTGTTTCTGCAGCCACTAATAAATTCTCATTTGAGAGAAAGATCGGAGAGGGAGGATTTGGTCCAGTCTACCAGGTGATTCTCATTGCTTATGTTACTGGAATTCGTGATTAAAGCAACCATTGCAACAAGATAGCAAAAAGATCACATCTCTTATGCTTGATATGTTCTGTAGGGTGTCTTACCCACTGGACAAGAAATTGCAGTGAAGAGACTTTCACAGAATTCTGGACAAGGCCTCCGAGAATTTAAGAATGAAGTAATTCTGATTTCTAAACTTCAACACCGTAATCTTGTTAAGCTTCTGGGATGCTGCATTCAGAGAGAAGAAAGGATGCTAATCTATGAGTATCAGAGCAACAAAAGCCTGGACCATTTCCTATTTGGTTAGTTCATCTCATACTTTGAACATCTGCAACTTATGATTTCAACTATTTCACCTATTTGCGTGATTCACAATTTACATTAAATATTGGAATATTACAAGACAAACAAGACTTAACAATTCATACATTAACATTCCGACAGATAAAACAAGAAGAAAATTTTTTATATGGAAGAAGCGCTTTGACATTGTTATTGGGATTGCACGAGGACTTTTGTACCTGCATCAAGACTCCAGGGTCAGAATTATTCATAGAGATCTAAAAGCAAGCAATATTTTACTTGATGATGAAATGAATCCTAAAATTTCAGATTTTGGCATAGCAAGGATTTTTGGGGAGCAAACACAAGAAAGGACAAAAAGAGTAATTGGAACATAGTAAGTATTCTAAGTTTATGCTGATGTTCATTTTGAATGTTTAAGACGCTAAAATTCTTATCTTTGGCAGCGGTTATATGTCACCAGAATATGCAATGAGTGGACACTTTTCAATGAAATCGGATGTGTTTAGCTATGGTGTTTTGGTTTTAGAGATAGTAAGCGGCAAAAAGAATTGGGGATTTTATCACCCTGACCATGATCTAAACCTTCTTGGACATGTAAGCATATAAATCACAACTATACGCACTTTTTCTTCTTGCTTAATGATGGATTTCTAAGGAAATGGGATGTCAACATGACATTTTGACACGCTTCCTTGAATCTTTTCAGTCATGGAAACTATGGAATGAAGGGAAACCACTAGAACTAATGGATGAATTGATGGAGGGTACATTTTCTGAGAAAGAAGTGGTAAGATGCATCCAGGTGGGTCTGTTGTGTGTGCAGCAACGAGTGGAAGACAGGCCAACAATGTCATCAGTGTTGTTGATGTTCAGCAATGAGAGTATGATTGTACCTCAGCCAAAAGAACCTGGCTTCCTTACAGAAATTTCTTCTTGCGGAGATACATCATCCAGTGTAAATAATCTGTATACAGCCAATGAGGTGACTATAACAGACTTAAGTGGACGATAGGCCTAGTTCAGTAATCATACAAATACTGTATATATTTCAGTTAGCAAAGAGCAGTATTTAATTCAATAGGCCATGTTTTGCAAGATTCAATCATGATATATAGCAAAGATCAGCAGGATGTTGCTGTGTTTATCACCTTTGGAATTAATATCAACCTTGCAAGGTATTGTCCTGCAAAGGTGATTGCCTAGCATACATTTGCTAAGTTGTGACCTTATGAGGCACCTTAAGGAGGGAATTACCAGGTTTATCTAATATTGTGCTAGGACATTTAAGTTTGATATCTTTTCTTTTTTGCGCACACCAATTCAATTTTTCTCTAATGGTTTTTACTTATTTTTACTCAGAATCTAAAGATAAGGTTAGAACTGTTTTAAGCATGGAAATTATGGAATCAGGATAAACCGTTGCAGTAGGTAGATTCTCTAATGGAGAATTCAGTTACGACATCAGAAGTGATGAGATCCATCCAGATGGGTCTCGTGTGTGTGCAAGAACATCCAGATGATAGGCCAACAATGCCCTCAGTTCTTTTGATGTTAGATAGTGAGCAACCTTCAGTGCCTCAACCTAAGCAATCTGGTTCTTACACTGAAAGATTTCTTACTGAATCCATTTCATCATCAACTAACGAAATGCCACAACAGCAAGTTAAATAACTATTGCAATGTTGCAGGGTAGATGGCAGAGCTATTCCCCTTTTGTAATTTTCTGTTCTTTTGTTCAATGGGATATGTAGAATTGTACAAATTTTTTGTTTACTAAGTTTATGTGTAGGTAGTAGAATTTTATAGTATAGTTATTTCATCAATTTGATATGTGACCATATCGTATCACCCAGATATTTTTTTGAGTGACGTTTTTCCCAGAGAGAAAAACAGGGAAACATAGGGGAGCATTCTCATCTTTATTTCTCCCTGGTTTTCCCCTTGGTATCCTCTGTTTCAGTTTGCAGAATTTACTTGAATGAGCAAAATTTATGAGACAACCAGAAAAAGGCCCGCTCGCTTTTTTCTTATTTTTTATTTTTCTAGATAAATATTTTTTATAATATTTATCTAATTAAAAAATTGAAAGGTAAAAAAAAAATAGAAATGAAACCTTTTTTCATAAAATTTATTCAATAAAAAAATAAATACTAAAAACCAAAAAAATTTAAAAGTGGAAAAGGGAAATAAAAAAAAATTGAAAAAAAACCAAAATGAAAAATATTAGGAGCTCACAGAAAGTATTGCATTAACATCCCTTATCGAGAATAAACTATTAATTTCTTAAGGAAAAAATAATTCTATTAATATAGTACTTACATATGTATTAAATTAAATAAATAATAAAAATATATACTTTTGTATATACTTTGGAATTAACAAAGCACTTTAAATATGATTCTAACCCAAGCTCGTTTCTTTTTGGAAAAATTCAATTTCTCTTAAGTTAATTTTGATTTTAAAAAATCCTCACTTATTGGATTTTTTCACAAAATTATTTTAATAAAAAGACAAAAAAAAGACAAAATAAAAAAATAAAAAGGGAAAAAAAAACTCATTGAGGTACCATTGGGGTGCCATGTAAACATTTGCATGGTTTTTTCTTTTAAACAAAATTTATCTAAAATAAATTAAAAACTAAAAAATAAATTGAAAAAAATGCATAGAAGAAATAATAAAAAAAAAACATAGAGTTGCATGTCGAGACCTTAAATAAGGGTAAACGAAAATTTTAAAAAATCAAATTTATATAATAGATAGATGGATAGATTACATTTTAATTATAGATAAATATAGTATTTTTATTAAATTATGATATTAAATAATATTTTTATTAATACAATACATATATATAAATTTAAAAATAATTTAATATATATAGTCAATACAAGACAAAACATTGTAAATCCATCTTCGATTCAAATTTGAATTTCAGGAAAAAATCTCGATTTGATTTCAAATAAAAAAACGTAACTATCAGATTTGGATGAATTGAAACTCATAGGATATTGATTGTTTTGTTACTCATACTTTTATTGACATTTAAAAAAAAATTATTTAACAATTTCTTTTGTTATAAATTATTTGATTAAAAAAATAAAAAATATATCCAAAAGATAAAAAAGCAAAATAGAGTACCATTTGTACACATCTATTATTTTTTGCAATAAAATTATCTAATTAAAAAATAGTAAAAGAAGAAAAAATAGTAAAAAGAAAAAAGAAAAAAGAAAAGATGAAAATACAAAAAAATTAAATAAAAAGGACGAAAGTCGAGTTATTATGTGACATTAGTAATGATTAGCTTTCCTTAATATCATTTTCTTAAAAAAATTATCAAATTCAAAAACAAAAAAAAAATTTTTAAAGTTAAATTTAAAAAATATACCATGCGATTAAGGCTAAAATGAAAGTGACCTATGAAATCTAAAATGTGATATTTAACTATCATATAATTTGTTTTATTATTATTTTACCTAAAACCATTACTTTTTTTTTTTTAATTTTTTCCTTCTTCTTCATCTCAATTCATCCTTTCTTTTTAAAAATTTATTCTCTCTAAAACTAAACTAATTCTCTCTCTAAATCCAAACTAATCCACAAACAATAACTTTCATGCTACCAGAACCTCCATACTACCATCATCATTATAAGTTCACATCACTACCAAACTTTATCGTTAACTTCTTCTGAGATTAGAAAATTCATTGGACATGTGCAACATGGTTCAACCCAAGAGGTGCCAATCTATAAGTTTTGTTTATTTGCAATGGATGGAGGAAAATATAATTAGCTTGACTAACTTGTCATGCTTAATGACTTCTTGGTAAGTGTATTATAAATCTTAACATCTATTGGTTTTTAGTACTTGATTGTTTTAGTGTCATTGCCTAGGTAACTATTGCTCGTGTGTATAATTAGGATGTTTATCAATGAAGAATTCATCAAACCGTTGCTTCTACAATAGGTAAGGATTCATGAACTAAGATTACCATTCCTTGATATAGAGGTGGAAAGTATGCTTTTATTCTCCCATTTTGATAGTTTGGTGAATGTGTTGTCTGTGTATTTCCAGATTGATCTAAAATCTCCTTTCATGGTCTACCCATATCTATTCTTTCCATTCCTAGATTCTCGATTCTATAAAGTGAAACATATGTTTATGTTGCTAGGATCAGTTTTTGATATATAAAACTTTTGGACATACATCAAATGTAATAGTTGGCTTTATGTGATTGTTAGTTTGTCAAGGGTGTTTTATTTTCTCGTATTCATCTAACTTTTTTGATCTGTTTAATTGTTTCACTGTTGAATCCAACTTTTAGAGAGAGAATTGGTTTGATTTCAGAGAAAAAAGATGAATTTTTAGAAAGAGATGATGAATTTTTAGAGAGAGAAGATTAATTAAGATGAAGAAGAAAGAAAAAAAATGAAAAAAATAATGATTTTGGGTAAAAATATAATAAAACAAATTATAGGCTAGTTAAGTGTAATAGGTACTTTTATTTTGGCCTTAATCACATGATATATTTATAAAGTATACTCTTTTTTTAATGAATAATATCAAATGGTTTCCATAATAAAAAGTTAAAAAATTTAAAAATTATAAATATCTATAAAAAAAGAAAAAGATAAAAAAAAAATAGAGAAAAGATAAAAAAAAAAAAAGAAAAAGAGAAAAAATTAAGAAAATAACTTGAAATATGCTATACCCTTGTTATCAAGTTGGCGAGACAAAAAAGAATTTTTAATCTAAAAAACTATTCATTAAATATATATAAAAAAATAGAAAAAAAAAAACACATGACATGTTTTTAGTATAAAGTGAGTCTTAATAAAAAATAAATTTAAAATCTTAAAAAAAGAAAAAAGGTAAAAAGAAACAACAAAAAAGCATGGTATAAAGTGGGGCCAACCTTAAAAAAAATAAAATCTTTAAAAAAAATTATTAAATATAAAAAGATTTAACAAAAAATAAAAAAGAAGAAAAAAAATAAAAAATAAACAGGAATGACAAGTGGATACCTTAATTATCTTTTTTTTTTCATAAAATTTATTCAATAAAAAAACCAAAAACAAAGAAAATATCAAAAAAAGTGGAAAGGAGAAAAAAAAAGATTAAGAGCTCACAAAGGTGCTACATTGACACCACATATTAAGCTAAACTATTAATTTTTTAAATTAAGGTAAAAAATAATTTTGTTAATATAAAATATATATGTATAAAATTAAAAAATAATTAAATATATATAATTTTGTATATACCTTTAAATAAGTTAGAAAAAAGTATTACAAATATGCTTTTGCCCTAACCTTTTCTTTAAAAAACTTGACCTATCACAAGTAAATTTTAATTTAAAAAATCACCATTTAACATATCTCAAAATTGATTGAAAGTTTAAATCCATTTGATATGGATTATCTTTTTGCATATCTGTCAATTGATACATTTGTTGCAAATTTATCTAATTAAAATAATAAAAAAAAGTGAAATGAGACACCACCTTAAAATTTCCATTTAATTTTTTTTGGCAAAATTACTTTAATAAAAAGGATAAAAAAGGGAAAAAATTAAAAAGTTAAAAAAGAAAAAAAAGTTCATTAGGGTAATACAGGATATCCTAATTAAGTGAAAACCTAATGGATACAAATTATTTTGTCATTCTTACCCATTGACTTATTTTTGTTACAAAATTTATTTAATAACAAAAGAAAAAAATGAAAGGAAAAAAGAGCAATGGTTTTTCACAAATTTTATCTAAATTAAAAAAGAAAAAAGAAAAAGGCAAAGAAAAGAAAAAAAAAAGATTGTACATTGAGGCCTAAAACAAAGGTTAAACAAAAGTATAAAAAAGTCAAATTTATATAGTAGATGGATGAATAGATTACATTTTAATTATAGATAAATATAGCATTTTATTAAATTAAGATAGTAAATAATATTTTTATTAATATAATACATATTATAAATATAAAACTAAATAAATAATATAAAATATAATTTAATATACATATAGTTAATGTAAGACAAAACACCATAAGTTAATTTTTAATTCGATCTTAAATTTTAAAAAAAAAATTTGACTTGATCTCAAATATAAGAACACGTTTATCAGATCTACACGAATTGAAATCTATTAGATGCAAATTGTTTTGTTATTCATACATCCATTAATATTTTTCTTAAAAAATTTATTCACCAAGTTCTTTTGTTATAAATTATTCTATTAAAAAAGAAAAAAAATTGAAAAGGCAAAAAACTTATATAAAGGGCCAAGTGTACACGTCCATTATTTTTTTTCAATAAAATTATCTAATTAAAAAAAAAAAGAAAAAATTACAAAAATTAGAAAGAAAAAACAAGCAAGCAAAACTATATATATAAAAAAGATGAAATTCGAGTTGTCACGCAATGTTAGTGATGGTTAGCTTTTCTTAATATCTTTTTCTTAAAAAATTACCAAATTAAAAAATAAATTTTTTTTTAATCAATAATATCAAATGGCCCACATTAAAAAGTTAAAATATTTAAAAATTATAAATATTTTAAAAAATAAAAAGTAAATATAAAAAATAAAAAACCCAAAAACGAAGAAAATAATTTGACATGTAGCATTGGCAAAACAAAAAAGAATTTAAAATCTAAAAAAATATTTATTAAATATATAAAAAAATAATAAAAAAAAGGCAAACTTGTGGGACACCTTTAGTATCAAATGGGTTCTAATAAAAAATAATTTTAAAATCTTAAAAATAAAGTAAAAATAAAAAAACAAAAAATGGTATAAAGTGGGGCCAACATTTAAAAAATAAAATCTTTCAAAAATATTTATTATATATAAAAAAGATTTCACAAAAAAAAGAAGAAAAAATTTTAAAAAAATGATAATAACACTAGGATACTTAATAACCTTTTTTTCATAAATTTATCCAATAAAAATAAATATCTAAAACAAAAAAATGATTGA